GGACTCGTAGTCCTGCTTCAGCCATTGTCATGCCATGGACAATGACATGGTCAATGACTGTTGCTCGCATCTCGTCCGTAATGATGGTGCGAGGTTGTCTTGCTCTCCCTCCTGGACCTTCTCCTCTCCCTTGTTGGCCTGCTCCTCTTCCTCCTCTGATTTGAACTCCTCTTCCTCGTTGGCCTGCTCCTCTTCCTCCTCTGATTTGAACTCCTCTTCCTCGTTGGCCTGCTCCTCTTCTTCCATGGCCAGCTCTTCTCCCTCCTCTGACTCGAATTCCTCTTCCCCTGACTCTGCCTTCATCCATTGTGTTTGTTTGGAATCTTCAGCAAACTGTGCACTCTGAACTTGCTTTTGTACATGTGGTCACAGCATTAGCAACAAGTGTCTTCAATTTGGAGTCATTGTGTGTAATGAATGACGCCAGGTGTGTTCATTGTGTTCAAATATTGCTGACTGTGGCAAGCATTTTGCACCACATGAGCTTTCATTTGAGAATATGAGCAGAGTTCTTTTGCAACTTGTGTTTTAGCAAAAAAAAATGTGTTAAGATTTATGAGAACGGAGGATTGTGTTTTGTGAATTGTGTCTTCATGTGAAATGTGTTTATGATATTGGAAAATGATGGCTAGATTTAGTAAATGTGTTTAGACAACTGGTCATTTAGTTTAGAGGATTGGCTTTTGTGTTTTAGCATTTGAGAAAAACTGTAATATCTAACAGTATCCTACCATTGTTTTTATTCATCCTACAGATTATGTCACCATTTCTAAAAGTTTGATCCATTCAAACTGAAACACTGGCCACATTAAAGTATCTGTGTGTTTTATTTCAGTATATTAGAACTAACTGAAATACTATACCTCCTTACAGTAACGTTATACAGTGCCTTGCGAAAGTATTCGGCCCCCTTGAACTTTGAGACCTTTTGCCACATTTCAGGCTTCAAAGATAAAGATATAAAACTGTAATTTTTTGTGAAGAATCAACAACAAGTGGGACACAATCATGAAGTGGAACGAAATTTAATGGATATTTCAAACTTTTTTAACAAATAAAAAACTGAAAAATTGGGCGTGCAAAATTATTCAGCCCCTTTACTTTCAGTGCAGCAAACTCTCTCTAGAAGTTCAGTGAGGATCTCTGAATGATCCAATGTTGACCTAAATGACTAATGATGATAAATAGAATCCACCTGTGTGTAATCAAGTCTCCGTATAAATGCACCTGCACTGTGATAGTCTCAGAGGTCCGTTTAAAGCGCAGAGAGCATCATGAAGAACAAGGAACACACCAGGCAGGTCCGAGATACTGTTGTGGAGAAGTTTAAAGCCGGATTTGCATACAAAAAGATTTCCCAAGCTTTAAACAGCCCAAGGAGCACTGTGCAAGCGATAATATTGAAATGGAAAATGGAAGGAGTATCAGACCACTGCAAATCTACCAAGACCTGGCCGTCCCTCTAAACCTTCAGCTCATACAAGGAGAAGACTGATCAGAGATGCAGCCAAGAGGCCCATGATCACCCTGGATGAACTGCAGAGATCTACAGCTGAGGTGGGAGACTCTGTCCATAGGACAACAATCAGTCGTATACTGAGATTTGTCTTCCAACAAGACAATGATTCAAAACATAAAGCAAAATCTACAATGGAATGGTTCACAAATACACATATCCAGGTGTTAGAATGGCCAAGTCAAAGTCCAGACCTGAATCCAATGGAGAATCTGTGGAAAGAACTGAAAACTGCTGTTCACAAACGCTCTCTATCCAACCTCACTGAGCTCGAGCTGTTTTGCAAGGAGGAATGGGCAAAAATTTCCGTCTCTCGATGTGCAAAACTGATAGAGACATACCCCAAGTGACTTACAGCTGTAATCGCAGCAAAAGGTGGCGCTACAAAGTATTAACTTAAGGGGGCTGAATAATTTTGCACGCCCAATTTTTCAGTTTTTTATTTGTTAAAAAAGTTTGACATATCCAATAAATTTCGTTCCACTTCATGATTGTGTCCCACTTGTTGTTGATTCTTCACAAAAAATTACAGTTTTATATCTTTATGTTTGAAGCCTGAAATGTGGCAAAAGGTCGCAAAGTTCAAGGGGGCCGAATACTTTCGCAAGGCACTGTATCAGCAGTGAAATGCCAATAGTTCTGCTCAGGCTATGTGGATAGGCCTCCAGTGATGTGACCTGGTAATGGCCTCCCTGTTTGGAACAGAGTTAAACAGGTCTGAGATAAGGAATATCAGAATCAGAATCAGTTTATTGGCCAGGTGTGTTGGACACACGAGGAATTTAACTCAGGTACATTGGCTCTCAATGTGCAAACAGTAGACCAGCATAAGGCTGTGTAATATAACAAAATAGCAGTATTAGCATCAACAACCAGTGCAAACAATGCAGAAAAAGCAGTATAAATAGACAGTAAACAATGTTCATTGAAATGAGATAATTAGGGATAAAAAATAGAGTACTTAAATAGTAATGATCGTAATAGTAATGATCTTTGGCCAATGAGTGAGCCATACTGTGGTTACTTCCACTTGAGTAGTCTCATTTTGTGCCCTAACAAATGCACCACATGGAGTCATCGCTACAATTGAGGATGTTTTCTGGAAGCCCCAATGAAAGTGTCTGAAACCCAGTGTCTGGGATGTGCTGAGCAGCTCCCAAGGGACCCGAGTGCTGTCCCGGGCCCTGGCATTTTAAAAATGTCATTCTTCCTGTGTGAGTACTAGGGGGGCTTCCTTGCCCTGGCTGCAAGACCACAGCAGATGGCCAACTGGACATCCATGTAGCAGCCTTCTGGTGCAATCATCATGCCACATATGCTTCACCCTGCAGCTATGACTTCCTGTAGATTGCTTTCTCACAGTCGTCACCATAGCTACTGTACACAATCCCAAGAGTAGAGTAGAGTAGAGTAGGTACTTTATTGATCCCAGAGTGGGGAAATTTCTGTGTTACAGCAGCTATAGAGAACAACCAACATAACACCATAAGAACAGACACATAAGAACAGGACTTCATAAAAACACGGAAAAGAACACAACGAGGACACAGCTGCTGTAACTTGCTGCCACTCCATATGGAGCAACAAAGAACACTTAGTCTTAAAATAAACAGTTACATAAAGGCAACAAAGCATTAGAACCAATACACACAAGTAGCGGCATCAGAACGTTACATTTTACACAGCACAAATAAGCAAATCAAAGGCACCTAAAAACAGGGCAGAGCAGCACTGCAGAGAATCAGGAACAGCAGTAGAGACTAAACAACCAGGAAATCAAGAACAATCGAATATTACTCACACAATTAATCCCACAATGGGGGAGAGAAACCTGCGTTTCAGCCATAAGGATCTCTGAGCAACTACTCAAAAACACCTAAAGCAGGGCAATGTACAGTATTTAAGAGAGATCAGGAACAAGATATTACACATGAGCCTATTTACAATGCATTTCACACCCAGGAGCTGAGTATTGCACCTCAGTAGATTATTACATAGTCCCTCATAATTTCACTTAGTTTATCACTGCAGTGATGTGTTGTACAGTCTGATTGCTGTGGGGAGGAATGACCTGCGGTAACGTTCCTTCTTACAATGGGGATGTAACAGTCTCATGCTAAAAAGAACTGCTCAGAGCCACCACTGTGTGGTGCAGGGGATGAGAGAGGTTATGCATGATGGATGTTAGTTTTACCAGCATCTTTCTGTCTGCCACCTCCTCAATGGAATCCAGGGGGCAGCCCAGGACAGACCCAGCTCTCTTAACCAGCTTGTTGAGTCTCTTTCTGTCCCTGACCGTGCTACCTCCTGCCCAACCCACAACAGCATAAAGAACTGCAGATGCCACCACAGAATCATAAAATGTCCAAAGGAGTGCCCCGCGCACACCAAAGGACCTCAGTCTCCTCAACAAGTGGAGGCGGCTCTGGCCCTTCCTGTACAGGGCATCTGTGTTGTTGTTCCAATCCAGCTTATTGTTGAGGTGGACACCCAGGTATTTAAAGGTGTCCACAATCTCAATATCTGAGCCCTGCAAGCTCACCTGATGGTGATTTCCGCCAGGGGTCAATGGTCAATCACCATCTCTTTTGTCTTGCTGGTGTTCAGGACCAGGTGATTTTTCTCACACCACTCCACAAAGTCAGTAACAACCCCCCTGTATTCCCCCTCATCCCCCCAGATACACATCTGACAATAACAGCGTCGTCTGAGAACTTTTGTAGATGACACTGGTGGGAGTTGTACTTGAAGTCCAATGTGTAGAGGGTGAACAGAAAGGGGGAAAGCACCATCCCCTGGGGTGCCCCTGTGCTGCAGACCACCACATCCGACACACAGTTCTGCAACCTTAAGAACTGAGGTCTGTTTGTGAGGTAGTTAATGATCCATTCAGACAGATGTTGGTCCACACCTGCCCCCTCCAACTTCCCCCTCAGTAGTGACGGCTGGATTGTGTTGAAAGCACTGGAGAAGTCAAAGAACATGAACCTCACAATACTTCTGGGGGAGTCCAAGTGAGATAGGGCTTGATGCAGCATGTAGATAATAGCGTTGTCTACCCCGATGCCAGGTCGATATGCAAACTGCAGTGGGTCCAGCGCTGCAGTTTGCCTTCGAGTCGGGGGTGGTGTATCCATTTCTGGCATTTGCATACAGTAGGTCCAGAGTTTTATTGTCCCTCGTGTGGCAAATAACATACAGTTTGAATTTAGGGAGGGTGGCAGAGAAGGGGAGGGAGGCATGGTTAAAATCCCCTGAGATGAGGATTAAAGCATGGTATATAGTAAATGGTCTTTTACTTGTATAGCGCCTTTCTATGCATTTTACAGCACACTCAAAGCGCTTTCACACTATTTGGCCATTCACCCATTCGCACTCCCAAATGTTCACACATTCACCTTCCGGTGTCATCACCGGGAGCAACTGGGGTTTCAGTGTCTTGCTCAAGGACACTTCGACATGTTGACTGGACAAGCCGGGAATCAGACCGCTAATCCTCCGGTTAGGAAACAACCCGCTCTACCTCCTAAGCCACAGCCGCCCCAAATACCAAACATGTGGGTGTTGTGTTTGCAGCCGAGACACGGTGCTCTGCATGCGCTCGTACGCAGCAGTAGCATCAACAGAGGGATTTATGTACACCGTCACCACAATTACATGAAGTACTCCCTGGGAATATAGTATGGCCGTGCACTGACAGCTAATAGTTCAATGTCTCTGCTACAGAATTTTCCTTAACAGGAACATGTCCAGGATTGCACCATCTGTTATTTATGTACACAGCTAAACCCCCCCGAAGCTGCGCTTCGATCTGCACAAACTAGTGTGAATCTATGCAGGGAGACCACTGAATCAGAAATGTTCCTGTTCATCCAGGTCTCGTTGAAACACATAATGCTACTCTCCCTTTCCACTCTTGTTAGCGCCATTAGCTCGTCCATCTTGTTGGAGAGGGACCGGACGTTTCCCATAACAAGAGATGGTAGACATGGCTTGTACCTCCATTTCCTCTCTCGGCGCTTTACTCCAGCCCTACAGCCTCGCATTTTGCGTCGTGTCTCTGTGGGAATCTTCTCAGCTTCTCAAGGGCGAGCTGCTGGTCTCGAGAGTGAACAATGGGGCCACTGCTCCCGGAGTCCCCCGACTCAGGAGCGCGCGAAAAAGTATA